TACGATTAAAAAGCAAAGAAATAAATTATATGACAACATTGCTATGACAATAATTATATGGCGATGAAAAATATTGCTCAATCAATAGCAACGGTTCTAGTACTGAGATTATCTGGACCGCTTTTTTTTTCCCTCCCCCCCTCCCCCCCCCACGACTTCATGACGGAAGCCAATGTTTCGCCTGTTTTAGAAAGGCATACAAAGCTGATATTCAAGCTAATTTAATTCATGAAATCATTGGTTTATGAATAAGATGGATATCTATCTGGCTTTCTTTTTCAGCATTTCCTAAGTTTTCTTTGATGGGATAGTAACTGTATTATTCTGATATTACAGAAAGGCTTTATCCCCATTCACAGTAATATCTAAATCAGAGTTGGTGGAAGACATTTTACTGACTTCATAAAAGTATAAAAAGAACGTCTATTATATCTGTTACATTAGGAACAAATTCTGAAAAAGAGAAAAAAAGATAAAAAAAGTAATAGTCACAGCAATCTTGAAAATAAATTTTCTTTAAAAAATTAATCCAGAAGAAATGGAGCAGAATTTTAAGGAGATTAAATTAAAATACAAACATCGTTAGATGGCCAACTCCGCGAAAAACGATTGGCTCCTTGTTGCAAATCATTGGTGAAGGTATATCATCAATAATTTCAATGATGTCGATATCGGACGACATCGTCCTTTAGTGTACTTCCACTTCTTTGTCAGCACCTAGATTGATACTTTTGTCCAGAAGTAGCAAGAACAAACTATTAATTCGACGAAGCTGATGATAGTAAAAATAACTCTAATTATAATAACAATTCTAATTACTGTGATTTCTACTGTGCTAACGATTATAACAGCACCGATAAATTAAGAGAACAAAAAATTATCACTAATTATTTAATCCTATTTTTCCAAAAAAAAAAGTTCTTGTGGATCGGGGATAATTACGATATCAAACCTAAGCAAAATGATGATAAGAGTTATCTTAGAAATGACAAGAGTTATGCTTTTATAGTGTCTTCATCATCAAATTTCATCGAATTATCATTATTCATCATTCGGAAAAGTGTAGCAGAAAAAATAGAAAACATTTTTAAAAAACAGAACATTTATGATCGAAACTAAGCAGAGCTTCTCTCTATCGACCGATCAAACTACTCCATCATTTTTCGTTTTAACCATGGATGAAACGAATTTGATGACAATCAATATAAAGTATAAGCGATATCATATAATCATGTTCGAGCATTAATGGTTAGGATGATAATGAGTAATTAAAAAAGAATTAGAACATGCTTCCTTCATAATTTAAATTGATATTAAACTAAAATAAAAAGCAAGTATGATGAAAGTGGAAAATCAAACATAAAACTGAAGTATGTGAGTGAATTTGAAAACATATGTGGAATCTGAAATTATACTAAATTCTATTGTAATTAATCAAATTACTCTTAAACACTATAACAAATGAACAATCACAACACTAAAGTACTGGTATGCAACAGCCATCTCCCCCTCTTTTCCCACCCCTATCTTTTCAACAGTCCTGATATGGGTGCCCGCTATTCCACTCCGATAGCAAGCGAACCAGTGTGCGAGTCTCAACGGCATGCATAATGCAATTCTTAACATCCAACCCTTATCATATCTATTATCGTTACTCAATAACTCATTATCGAAGTTAAGGTCGATGCATATCCCTCTTGTCAGTGGGTGAATTGCTAATTAGATTGATCATTTATAAGTATAATTAGCAACAAGTTGTCGTGAAATCACAGACAGTATGTCACGAGATTCGGGATAACGACTATTTGTTTTATTTCTAACGATTTATAAAGAATTCCAACTGTTCTTAGTGAATACATGCAAAAATATATTTTTCTGAATATTATTAAAAACATGTTGTTACCCACTTACCATAATACTGGAAAACTCTATTTTTTTCAGAATCTAAAGAATAGAATAAAAACCGAGATCTTACTGTTGAGATTTCTTGTAACACTATATGAAAATCCAATTTATTATACAAAAATTGTCCCACCAAAACATTCTCTTATTGAGGATAAACATCAACAGAACTGCGCAAAACAATACTGGCATTTCTACATATGACAAAACTTTCTTTTTCTTTTAATGCCTATAAAATGAACCTTAAAGATATGATAATGAAACCAATGAGGGATCTTTCGGATTAAACAAAAATAAACAGTACATACAGTTATAAAAATACATATTACATATGTTGAAAAACTGACGGAAATTATATAATGACTGCTTAATCTCTTTACAGTATTATGTATATAATCGAGATATTTGTAAAAACACATATATGAATTAAAAACAGGAACTTTAGTTAAATTTTTCAACATGCAACGAAAGATTAACAAAATATGAAATATAGCAATGAAGAAAACGTCCATTTCGTCATGTTCACAACCATTTCAACGATACACTGCAATTTGAAACTGGAACTTTGCAAAACATGTTCAACTTTTGTTCTTCAACTGTTTCAGCAGAAGATATGAAGGGAAGAAAGAAGAAAAAGAGGTTTGTAAGTCTTAATTCTGTTTCATGTAAGCACTTGAAGCAACTCAATTTCCGGTTTTTCTCGTGAAAAAGTTATTTGAAATATTGAGGTCAAATTCTCGCGAAATTGAAATTTCACAAATATCCTACGGAAAAGTGAAACTTACTTCCTGGTGGTGGTTCTCGATAATGCACTTTGAACCAAGATAAAACAACTTCAAGACTTTGAAACAACTGCTGTCGAAAACGAAATCCTTCTGGTGTTACGGTCATATACTCATGCCTTGCTTTGTTGCGCGGCAAATACGATACAACAAATTTTCCGGGATATTCTTGTGATGGTGTCAACGTATAACTATAAATAAAAAATTAAAAAAAAGTAAGAAAGTGAAAAAAAAACTACTAAAAACCAATTGGATATTACAATTAACAAACAGAGCATACAACACAGAAGAGAGCTACACTAAGGAATGAAACACTCACGGTATCCGCTGGGGATTTCGTTTTTTTTCATCGAAGAGATAACTCTCAATAGCATCTCGATCTTCAGCCCGTTTGCCATCCAAAAAATATTTATGCGACAAAACATCACGGGCCAACGCTGCCATAGGTTGTATGTGGCGAGCAAGGATTTCATCCAAATCTTCGAACTCCTGAAGAAGTTGCAAGTTTGTTAAAAAATGTGCAACGAAGTTAAAACATTGTTAGGGATCATGCAATGAAATTAATAATCAGAAAAGGACAATAACTTCTGAAATTCTAGTTTGAGCTGAAAACAACTAACAGGTAAAACACAGACTACACACAACTTTTGCAAAAATATCTCCAAGTATCATATAAGTTAATCATTTTCATATGACCGTATTGTATTTAAGAACATACTTCTGTACCAATTAACAACGTTTTGCCAAGACTAAATTGGTGCTGTTTCCCTTCTTCTTTAATATCGATGTGTTGGTAAATACCATCAGCAACTTTCCATGTTACAGTTAGATGTGAAACGGATTTTGAACTAGGTCGAATGATGGCTTCGCCCTGAGAAGAATCTCATTTTCACGAATGATTTAATTCATCGAAGCTTCAAAAATCGATGGTGAAGATTTCAAATACTTACTTGTTCAAATTTTTGAAGCATTCGTTCGGCATCTTTAAAAGTCACATTATGAAATGATGGATGCGATATAACCCTTTTCACGAAATATGTTACAATTTTCCTTTTCTCCCTTAGTTTCTTATCCTTTTCATCGTCATCCTGCAATCGGGGTCAAACATAAGCAAATAGAAAATGTATTGACTACACTCCACAATCAACTTTTCTTTTATTACCTGATACTTCAGTTTGTCGAAGTAACGGTCGAACTCGCTATTCTGTGGCTGTAGGCCTCTAAGGTCAGATGATCGACATGAACAGGTCGCCGAAAATTTATCGGGATCCAACTCCAGTATTCGACAATATATGGGTTGGTTGCGCTGAAATTTCCAAAAATTTTCTAAGCCCCAAAAATGATTAAAAGTAAACTATACAGTGTAATAGAAAAATTATTATTATATGGTAGAGATGCAACACCTCTCTTCGATTGGAAAGGAGCAAATCAAATTCTTACCCTAACCCTCTCGCTTGGATCCACAAACGAATCGGGTCGATCTGATAAATACTTATTTGGAATGAAACCAGTTATACCACTGTCGAATCGTACTTTTACACCCACTGGTTGACCAGGACAAGAGTCAATGTGTTGCCACACCTTGATTTTCATAATCCGTAAACAATTCATCAATTAACAGTCAAAAATCCAATCAAAATTTATTAGACAAAAACCACCTCATTTGTATTGTTGAAATCAGGCTTGTAACAATACTGGCATTTCCACTGACCCGTACGCTCATCTCTAATAGGAGGTACACGTTCTCGTTCCTCTGGATCTCTCGGTTTGCGATAAACTATATGCATTACTCGTCCCATTACCAGTTTCCCTAAAATCACACCGTAATAAATAAATCCTGCGAAAAAACTCCTGCAGAAATTATTATCAAAAAAGGAAATATACTGGTTTCCTGGTTTCCATGGTTCCTGGTTTTATACTGGTTTCCATGTTGTTGCAACGCGTACTTCATATATAACAATTTCAAAACTACAACATATATTTCCATATCATGTTTTTTTCTATTTTTGTTTGTTTATTGTATATTATTTATATTTTATTTTTGTAACTAAAAGATGTTGTGTTGGAGGATGTAAGTAGTCAATATTCTTTTTATGATTATCGTATGTTTAGTCAAGGTTTTCGTTTATTTTTATTTAGTGAGTTAGCTTTATTTTTTTTTCTATTTTTTGAACTTTTCTGGATTCTTCTTTATGTTCTTTAACTTGATTATGTGGAATTTGATCTCCTTTGGGTATTTTATCTCCTGATTATGTTAGTATTAATGGTACAGCTAGTTTGTTTTTAATAATAAATAGTCAATTATTGAAATATTCTCGTCAGTATTTGTGTTTGAATAAGTTTGATCGTGAATTTTTTTTGTTAATTTGTATTTTTATTGGTTCATTTTTTTTATGTTTCCAATTTTATGAGTATAGAAATAATTCTTTTGTTATAGGTGATTGTATCTATGGTAATGTTTTTTATATTGGTACCGGGTTACTAAATGATTGATGAAAATCAGTTAAACTGAAATGAACTTTTCTACTAAATAAGTTCAACAAGCAAATAAAAATCAGTGGAAAACGCAAATAAACAACAACAAATTCCAAATTTACCTATGGAATCAGAAGTTTCCTTTGTCAACATCGTGAAAATTTTTTCAGCCGATGGACTTTCGTAAGGAATGCGAAGATCTTTGTATCGATGATTTAGCTCTGCTCGAATATCATACAGTGTGATACTTTTGTTACCAAAACCTTGCCGGGCAAGTTCTTCCGCAAAAGCGTCAAGATCAAGATCCTAAAATCAAATGAACAATAGCGAAGTAAATCAGCTGAATAATCAATTGTATATTCAAGCTAAACCACGAGTAAGAAATAATTTGAAAAACAAGCAGAAACAAAAAAAACCTTAAGCTTATCTGGATTTTGCAAAATTTCTTCCAGAGCACTTGTAGGATCAGCAGCGTCATCAATTTCTAGAGCATCGACCGCCATTTTCCGAGCCCATTCATATGTTTCTGGATGCACTCGGGAACCATCCAGCACCTAAATTCAAGTGAAATAAAAAAATTACATAAAGAATGGCACAATTAATTTAAAGTAACAAACCTTTTGTGTAAAGCCATGAAATACTATTAATTTTAAGCACAGTTCATAATTACCTCAACATAAGCATCAGTTCTTTCAGACACCTTTGCTGTGTCAATCTTGATAAAGCCTGCCGAATTCATAAATACCTACAAATAAATTTCATACCAATTAATTTATAAAATGACGGAATGGAAGTCAGCTAACTTCAAACCAAAACAAAGTGGTGAAAAGCTTTTGTACAAAATTCCAACCAACTTATAGAATTGGAACATAAAACAAACCTACCTTCGGTCCCATACGACACAATGTAACTAATTTTGTCCGACTTTCCAGAAGATTATCATTCTGTTTCAGTATTTTCAGTAAATGCACCGCCTTTCTCGTCCCTAAGCCACAAACAAATTGCAACAAATATGAGGTATGAGAGTATTCCAAACAACGATTTACGTCCACACCTACTTCATTCACTCTGTTTATGAATTCCAGTGATAACGCAAACAATAGTTCTTCCTGTAACTGATCAAATCACTTGGCGCAAACGTCACCTTAATTCTTTGGGAAAAAGACTGTATAGAGGAAACACACAGATTTATTTTTACTGTTTCCTATATATATGCATACATTCACAGATAGTGCAAAAAATTACCTTGTTAACTTCACTTTGCAACGGATGATATGAAACACAAAGAATGTCATCGTCCGTATTACATAAGTGTGCATATTCGATTAATGGATCCAACAACAAACGGCCTAAGGAAACTGCTTGTCGCAGCATTAGTGGATAATTAGGGAATTCCGCCTGCAAAATGGACACATTCTTAATTCTAAAGACCAAAAGTCTAACATTCATAGAATTGCATGTGAAATATTTCATCAAATCAATTCATTATAGTGCAAACAGGAAGCTACTAAATTAAAAACAATTTTGCAGCTACAAACTTTTTTTCTTTATCCTGCACTAAATGATAAACGGGAATGCTAAATTTATATTACAGCTAAACAGGTTGCAGTGATTATTACGAGACATAAAAATATTAAAATTTGGCAATTCGAATTACGCAATTCAACAAATCTGTGAAAATATTACTAAACACTCACAATTGCCTGTTTGCTGTGCATATAAATTTTGGCTGCTTCATTATCTACAATTTCCACTGGAATTTCTTTTGCCATCCCAGAAATTTCGTGTAGTAAAGATTCAATATCCCGCCGAAGATAATAAGCATCCATATTTTCACCGCATATTGCAATTACACAAGGGCGACGTTTTTCGATGAATTTGCGCAAATGAACCATATCCTGACGCTAAAAAAATGAAATAAACATTGGTCAGGTAATGAAGATTAAAATGGAGTGAGCTTAAAGCGATGAACATAATGCTGTTTTTTGATGATAACCTACACTGTGGACAACATAAAATTCCTTAACGTAGCTACAGAAGAAGTTTCATATGATCAACAGAATAAACTCTAGTTTTCGAACACAAGATGAATACGTAACCTTTAGGTCTGCTTCACCTGGTCTTTTTGAATTCATACTTTTCGTAATATGAATTAGTCGAAGATGGTCTAAAACTTGGCCATCTTGATCAAGAAGAGCACAAAATGATGCCTGGTCTCTGAAAAAAATTGATCTGTCTTTGTTATAATTAGTACTTAAATTAGTACTCAAAAGTTATTTTTTAACTATAAGACTTCAATAGGTGAGTCACTTTCACACATCTTAAAACAGAAATCTGAATAATGATGTTACCTTTCTTCAGGATACGCAATACTTAAAACTCTTGTTCCACTAGCAAATCCACTTTCAAAGTCATCATCATCATCATCATGCACGTTACGATAAGCAGCAGTTTTAATTCGATCATACAAATTCTGCGTGCTTTGCTGAAATTGGCTCGGTCAACAGGAAATTGATTTCTTAAAAACATTTTAGTTCAAAATCACATAATTATGTCAACCGTAGCCCAAAAAACTTGTATTCAAAAAATAAATATTACTAAAAATGCGCTACACAAATTTGAAGCACATACTTTTATCACATAATCTTTTGCTTCCTGCAGAAGCCTTTCATGAGCTTCGCGTTCAAACACCGGCAAAAGAAAGTTGTTAACACAAACTGTTACTGCTTCTTCTCTGATCTTGTTCCATGTATCAACAACGCGAGAATATTCATCTCTGAAAAGAGGTTGATTTCTTGAAACAAACAAAGGGTGGAACCCTCAAATTCATCCCCATTTCTGCCATTTCAAAATTCAAAAGAAATTTTGTCAAAATATTTTTGCCTGTGATAAGGCTGTTCTGAAAGAAATTCTTGAAGCATCGTCTTTTCAAATCTAACATCGTCCTCTGTGTCACAGTGCAACTTTAAATTCAGTAATCCACCAGCATGCGCCTAAACCATAAAGTTTAGATTTGAATGATTTCATTTTAAAAATAATAGGAATAATAAAAATTCGAATAGTCAGATAGTTTCTGTAATAAATCCTATAAAAAGTAGTTGAAAACATTTCAAGAGTAAAGAGCATCTACCTGCACGTACCACAAATATTCATCATGTCGTAAACTTGCAACAGGCTTATCGCGTATGTACCTAAATCATCAGAAATTTTATAATGCTGAAGATGAATTGTGTCTGACCATAATCTGTTGCTAATGCTTAATTATTTAAGCAAACATCAATAAACTATGAAAAAAAAAACATAAAAATTTGTTACCTTCTGGGCCACAATTTGTGGTTTTCATCGATTTCTTCTCGGCCCTTTTTCGTCGGACATACCGAAATCTTCAAACGTAACCTGTATCGTAACCGCAGCAGTTCTCGTACTTTTGGTTCTCTGCTTAGCTGTTTAGCAACAACATGAATAGCACCAGTTAACACAGCTTCTGGAGTGGGGAAACTTTGACAGACATATTGCTCTGCCGCCTTCAGTGGTTCTTCATCGTCTTGCACAATATCATGCCGCTTCCAATCAAGATTTTCTGCAAATTGCAGAGGAGTCAAGCCAAAACGTGAAGCCATTCCGGATAATCCATTCTGGACACATAGCTGGAAAAGTAGGACAAATTAGAAACTAGGCAGCAGTAACTCAGAAAAAAGACACAAAGGGCTGTTCATTAACACAGTTGCACTCACTCCTTCCTCTGATATATAGGAAAAGATACATCCTGAAAAATACCATATATTTGTCGGTTCTTGTAGCAGCACGAAAACGCATTTCAGCAGCTTCACGTTCAGGATCGTCTTCACTCAAATTTTGAATTTTTTCCCAGTCTATCATTTTCGGTACTTCCGGACCATAATACAATTGGAATTTCGTCGAAACATCCATCAAACCTTCTACTGTTTGTACTCCATGCACTCTGTAGCACCAAAACAATTTTTAACTGCTATATGTATATTATTGACATCTTATATAAAGCCGCTATAGATGTAAATCAAAAGAATTAATGATTACTCATTCATATCCTGCTCAGTAACAATACGCATCCCTGCCGCGTTGTCATTCTCCATCTGATAATTCAACATCCGTTTCATCAATTCTAATAAACGTTTCTTTCTTTGTTGCAGGTGACACCACTAAAACAGAAAATAAACAATTCCTTAGTCTTTAAATACGAACAAGCAAAACTAATGGAAAATAAAAAGAGATACCTTTTCATCCCACTGATAAACTTTCCATAAATCGTTGATTACTAAGCATGATTCTACATATTCCTTACGATAAAATGCTATGAATGGTACCTATAAAGTTGAAACAAGATCAGGAACTATGAATATCACAAAGAAGTGCAATCTCAAAAAAAGCTTGATACTGATGTTTATCAGCAAAAATGATAACATAATCATCAATAACGAAATAATGAAAAAAAATTTCTATTTGCCTCAAACAATTGATTTCTGATGAATTTCAAGGCTTCCTTAATTTTATCTGGTGCCTCTGCAGCAATTTTAGCTCGTTCATCAATGCGAAGATCCAAATTTGACAATACCGTAAGACAGCTTTCTTCCTAAAGTTGTGTTTTACAATCTATTTGCAACGAAATTTATGAAATTTCGGCACCCGTAATGGAGGTAAAAATGAAGTTTCATCAAAAATCATCAAATTTACTTCGAATGAAAGTTTGAATCCAACAGTTTCTAGGATAACAGAACATATGAAGAATAAATATGGAGTAGCACATCACGAAATTCTTAATCAACGTGTCAAATCATCCATTAAAAGTAGATTAATACCTGTTCCGACAAAGTAGCATTATCAAATGCATACTGGTAAATCCATTTGGCTTCAATTTCAAGCTCGTGTTCATCAGCCTCACACACTGGAACCCGACGAAGCTGCAAAAATGTATAGTCAAAAGTGCATTTTGTTCCCCAACCATCTTTTCTAATTCAATCAAAATGAACATGAAAAAACAAAAATAATCAAAACGATATCAAACTACTTGGAAGCGTTCAGGACGATCATCCAGTTGTATACGTTTATCCATAGGAGAAAGTAGTTTCTCTTCAAGCTCTGCAGGTTCAATTGTATCCATCAAAGTAGCTCTCTTTTCTTTCGGTTTCATCTTACGGGAACGCGATACATCGCCTCCTTCCAGTTCTTCTTGTTCTTCATCTTCCGGGTATTCATCCTCATCTTCGCCTGGCTTAAATGAAAATATATTCGAATAAATAAAGATCTGTAAAATGTGGAGATGCCAGGAAAAACTGATATGAAAAATAACAAACGCCAACTTCAGCATCTTCGTCGTAAAATTCAGCAAAATTAAAGTCATCGACTCCGAATATCTCCCGCGCGTCATCAATAGCTTGCTCTGGCACATCTGCAAAACGATAACGACGCTGTCGATGTTGCGGCTGTTGCCCATCATCCGTAACAATGAAGTCGTCTTCTAAAACAGAAAAACAAATAAGCAGCTGAAATATAATGCAAATGCTAGAAAATTCTAAAACTATAAGTAATAAATGAAAGATCACCAGAATGTTCGCTTTCCGTGCCTGAACCCTCATCGCCATCATAAACACGTCGTTCTGATTCCCTGTAATCGCTGCGCTGATCATCATCACCAGCCAAATCATCCTTGAAAAATGAGATGATCTACTAACTTCAGAAAAAGAGAAACTTAACATGCGATACTACATAAACATTATTAATTTAGCATTTTTTCTTATTCTTACAACCTCTCTGGATTTGTATGAACTTGCTCATAATGTTAACACTTGGTAGAATGAAAAATCCAAACAGAGAGATTAAAAATAACAAACCTTATCATAAAGATTACTCTTGCTACGGTCACGATCCTCTTCTTCGTCACTTTCAATTACCACACGACCACCAGCTGGACGCTGCTGTATGTCTAAGTTATCATTCAACAAGTCCAAGTCTTCATCGTCCAATTCTAGATCATCATCTTTTTCAATATCACTTCTGTCGTCGTCCTGAAAAATATAACTGGAAAGCAACTTTAAACACCAATTTTTATTTTCAGTCAAATACAGTGATTTACATAGTTGAGATTAACAGAAGCAGAATAGCGCAAGACAACTCAGTTCAGCAGCTTACTGCAACTAAAACAGCATGATGAATCTTTCGAAAATTTACTGAGAGACACAGGAATAAAAGAATACTCCATAAATAAAACGAACCTCATTATCATCACCATCTTCTTCAGCTTCGTCTTCATCGACAACGAAACCTGCCATTTCCTTTTGAATTTTGGCTTCGTCATCTTCCCCATCATCATCCTCTTCATCATCCTCATCATCACTGCAAATCAAAGATAAAAATTCCAAATTCAAACCATGCCAGCTCAAAATAAAGCTATTAAAAATTACAGAAAAATATTGAAGACGATAAGGAGTATGAATAAAACGGAAAACATTCATAAAATATTAGACATAGTATTCAGGCTTTTGAAAAAAATTCAATGCATTATCATGAAATCTGGTCCTTGAATGTATATAGTAAATAAAGAAGTTTCATTTCTCTTTTAACTATAAATAAATTTCATTTCCAAGCCTCTAAGGGCTACATTCTTGCAAATAGTAAATTGCTTGTTGATTACTTCATCTATTCTTAACAATATAAAGATGGACATTTCAGTATCTTGAAAAATAGCACAATAAAAACTGAAGTTTTATATATATACACTTTTCATTGCTGCTTGGTTCTAGTAGACGAAAACCACGCTAAATTATATATTGCTACAAAAGCGCTTTGAGTGAATTAAGGTGAAACTGAAATTCAACCTCCTAATTCGTTTCGTCTTTTTTGCTTTCTCCTTTTCTTTTTCTGCTTTCGCTTCCGTTTAGCACGAGGCTCCAAATCATCATCATCAATGGATGTGTCTGTCGTTTCACCTGAATTTTCGGACTCTTCCGCTTGATTGTCCAAAAATTCCGACATTTCCACTTTATTTCTTCTTCATTAATTCTCGAATTATATATCCCGTCTGAAAACCAAAAACTGTTTGCTTTTAATCAACAAATCCAATAGAAAATTTTGCGCAGCACGAAATAAACAATGCATGACTCAAATCGAACATCAGTCCTGTATTATTCCTTTAAATGTGAAGTAACAAATGGATGGGTAAATTAAGTGCTGACTGATTTGATAAAATAAAAGTACTGACAGATTTAATTACTTAACTTACATGTTAATAGGTGACCGAAATAATAAAGATGGCGTAGAAATGGAAGAACAAAAGATATATATAAGCATATACATATATTCTATATATATGTACATATATATATACATATATTCTATATATATGTATATATATGTATATATATATATATATATA